AGGCCTCCGCGCCGCGCGGCTCGCCCACGGGCTCGTCGCAGCCAGCGTGCGCGAAGGCCCGGGGGCTCCTCCGCGTCGTTGTCGTCGTTGTCGTCGGCAGCGTCGCGGGCGTCGTCGGCGTCGCGGGCGTCGTCGGCGACGTGGGTCGTCGTCGTCGTCGTCGTCGTCGTCGTCGTCGTCGCCGCCGTCGTCGTCGTCGTCGTCGTCGTCGTGGTCGTCGTCGCCGTCGTCGTCGGTCGTCGTGGCCGTCGATTGTCGTGGTTGATCGTCGTGGTCGTCGTGGTCGTCGTCGTCGTCGTCGTCGTGGTCGGCGTCGTCGTGGTCGACGGCGTCGGTCGTCGTTGTTGTCGGCGTCGTGTTGGTCGTCGGCGTCGTCGTGATCGTCGGCGTCGTCGTTGTCGTCGGCGTTGTCGGCGTCGGCATCGTGGTCAGCATGGTCGACGGCATCGGTCGTCGTGGTCGTGGGTCGTCTTAGTGGTCGTCGGCGTCGTCGGCGCCGTCGCCTCACTTCTTGGTCGTCGTCCTCGGCGTCTTGTTGTTTCTCTTCTGCTCGCTGCTGCTCTTGTGATGCCTGTTGTGTCTGTCATTCGTCGTCGTCGTCGTCGTCGTCCGCATCGTCCTTTCTACCCTCTCACCCTCTTTCTCCATAGAACTCCTCCCAGTCGCACCCTTAGACGCGTCAGCAAGACGGGACAGGCGTTTCGCTTGAGACGTCTTCACCATTTGTGGTGCTAAAGCCTGCGATTCGCAGCGTGAGCACGGATGGAGAGGGGTCGTTGTCCAAGTGGAGTTCACGTGTTGGTGCTGCCGACATTTGTTTCGAACGTGTGCAGCAGCTGCGAGGGTGGAGGTTTCTCCTCAGCGCCGCGCACATTCGTTGTAAAGGTTCGCAGCACTTCCATGGGCGGAGGGCCTCTCCTCTTGAAGCTGGGGCTCTCGCTTGAGCGCCGCACACTTTCGTCTTACAGGTTCGCAGCAGAAGCGGCAGCGAGGATGGAGGGCGGCCCTCTTTCAAACCAGGCCTCGCTTGAAGCATCGTCAAATCCAGAGGCAAGAAGCTTGAGCGGCTGTAGCAGATGCACAGCTGCAGTAAGTAGGGGTGGAGGGGGTGGAGGAGGGGGAGGAGGGGGAGGAGGAGGAGGAGGAGGAGGAGGAGGAGGAGGAGGAGGAGGAGTTGAAGGAGGAGGAGGAGGAGTTGGAGGATAGTAGGAGGAGGAGCCGCGGAGAGGAGCAGGAGGAGGAGGGGAGCAGGAGAGGAGAGGAGGAGCGAGGAGGGAGGAGGAGGGAGGAGGAGAGGAGAAGCGAGGAAGGAATGAGGGAGGAGAGGGAGGAGGGAGGAGGAGGAGGGAGGAGGGAAGGGAGGAGGAGACGGATGGCATGTTCCATATAGTACCACGCCCATTTCAATACACATGGAGGAGGAGGAGGAAGACGAGGAGGAAGACGAGGAGGAAGACGAGGAGGAGGAGGAGGAGGAGGAGGAGGAGGAGGAGGAGGAGGGGGAGCAGGAGGAGAGACCCGACCCAGGCATATGACGTCGTTTTTTTTCAACATGTGTCTCCCCAGCGGTCTAGAACCCTTCCCTGGAACCGTTTTCTTATCCTGATTCGTGTTTCGACGGGCCCAGCGCCCGTTGCGGGCCCGTGGATGTCGAACATTAGAGACGCCCGGTCGCAGTTATCTTCCCCAGCACGAGAAGAGTCGGGCGCACACCGCACCAGTCTGAATACGGCAAGTGCTTGTTATAACACATACGTACGTAACTCAAAAACGCTGCTCAAGTAATGTCGTAATGCGTACAGTCGGGGCGCTGGAGAAGGAACTCTTTTCGTTGGGGAGGGGCTCCGTGTTCCTTCAGTGTTTCGCAGCTTGCCTCAGGTTTTCCTTATGTCTTCGATGGGGAATCGAAGTTTAACTTATGGAAAAAAGGGGCCTCGTTCCTAATTTAGGGTTCCTTAGGTCAACGCCCCGACTGTAATCTCGTAGTCCGCCAGCCAACCGCTCCCAGAGTACTTTCGACATGCGTGTTGTATGTCACGTGCCTCTCCTGCGGGCTCGTGGGGGCTGGGAAGACGTCAGAGGAGGAGGAGGAGGAGGAGGAGGAGGAGGAGGAGGAGGAGGAGGAGGAGGGAGGAGGAGGGAGGGAGGAGGAGGAGGAGGGAGGAGGAGGAAGAGCAGGAGGAGGAGGAGCAGGAGGAGGAGGAGGAGGAGGAGGAGGAGGAGGAGCAGGAGCAGGAGCAGGAGCAGCAGCAGGAGCAGCAGGAGCAGCAGGAGCAGGAGCAGCAGGACCAGGATAACGACGAAACTCCCCCCCTGCGGAGGCGGTCCCGAGTTGCGCCGCGACGCCCACCGAGAGGTCACCGAGCCGCACGGCGGCGGCGCTGAAGAGCTGCTGGCACGCGCGGCCGGCCCCGTCGCCGTTCTACAAGCTCAGGATGCCGCCCGCCCCTTTCCGACATCTGTTCGGCCTCCAGGGGCCCTGCACGGGCCAGGGGACCGTCAGGCAACTGCTCAGGATGACGAGCCAGTCCCGGGGAAGGCTTCTAGACTTCAAGAGAGCCACGTTGTGAAACAGCACGACGTAGGATGTCTGGGTCCCTCCTTGTGCTCCTCCTCCTCCTCCTCCTCCTCCTCCTCCTCCTCTCCTCCTCCTCCTCCTCCTACATCTCTTTCTTATCCTCCTCTGTCTCCTCCTCCTGCCCCTCCTCCTCCTCCTTCTCCTATTCCTCTCCTCTCCTCCTCTTCCTCCTCCCTCGCGCCTACTCCTCCTCCTCCTCCTCATCCTCCTCCGCCTCTTCCTCATCCTCCTCCTCTCCTCCCCTCCTCTCCTCCCTCATCCTCCGCTTCCTACTCCTCCTCGTATCTATCTCCTCTGGCCTCATCATCCTCGTCATCCTCCTCGTCTTCGCATCTCTGTCTCTCCTCCTCCTCTCCTCCTTCTTCTCCACCTACACCTCCTCCTCCCCTTCTGTCTCCTCGTCCTCCTCCTCCTCCCCTCCCCTCCTACCTCTTCTCCCTCCTCATACTCCTCCTCCTCGTCCTCCTCCTCCCGGCGCTGGCGTTGGTGGCATCGATCTGGATCACCACGTTGCCGACCCCCCCCCCAAGGGGCGGTCGTCCCTGGGGGGGGGATGTCGAGGCAGCAGATTTGTGAAGCGAGATCGAGAGGCGCGGCCAGCACAGACCCCCCCTGAGGGGGCGGGGTGCGCAGGCTCCCCCTGTTCCCCTGGGGGGAGGAGGAGGAGGAGGAGGAGGAGGAGGAGGAGGAGGGGAGGAGGAGGAGGGAGGAGGAGGAGGAGGAGGAGGAGGAGGAGGAGGAGGAGGAGGAGGAGGAGGAGGAGGAGGAGGAGGAGGAGGAGGAGGAGGAGGAGGAGGAGGAGGAGGAGGAGGAGGAGGAGGATGGAAGGAGGGAGGAGAGGAGGAGAGGAGGAGGAGGAGGATGGAGGAGGGGAGGAGGAGAGGAGGAGGAGGAGGAGGAGGAGGAGGCGGGAGGAGGAGGGAGGAGGAGGAGGAGAGGCGGAGGAGGAGGGCGGAGGAGGAAGGAGGGGAGGAGGAGGAGGAGGCGCGGAGGAGGAGGAGGAGAGGAGGAGCAGGAGGAAGAGGAGTAGAGGAGGAGGAGGAGGAGGGAGGAGGAGGAGAGCAGGAGGAGGAGGAGGAGCAGGAGGAGGAGGAGGAGCAGGAGGAGGAAGAGGAGAAAATGTTGCATAGCGCATTGCATCGTCATGGAATGCCTGTTGCGCACGCTGTAAACATGTGGGCTCTGTAGCGCTTGCAGCGCCCTAGGCTCGCTGTATTGTGCACACAGTGCTGGTCGGTAGTTCCGGCCAGGCAGAGCATTGGAGAGCATCGGCAGCCAGGTTGAAAAAGGTAACAGCCCAATCCAGAGCAAGAGGAGAACATGTTGCATAACAGGGGGAGGAAAGGAGGTGAGTAACAGGGTGGGCAGGGGGCGACGAAGGCGGCAGAGTCAGCAGGCAGCGACAGAGTGGGCAGGGCCGCTGGCGGAGCTGGCGATCGAGCTGGTAGGTGGTGCTGCCACTGCGGCGTGGCAGGTGTGCGGCTGCGGCCATACACGCCACAAGTGGGGGAAACAAATAATGACACTAGCATAAAAACTCGGAGGTCCGCGCGGACCTCCTGGGTTTTATGTTCATGCCGTTCTTCGTTGCCCTAGCAAAGCTGTGATGTTCCAACCTATGTTAGCCTTGACCACGAGACATCATTTCGAGCACCACGAAAGTACCGAAACTTGAGGGTTTTCACGTGCCGGGCCCTGGGAGGCGATTTCCGTTCGACGTTGTTTCAACATTTTTCTGGGCGCTCGGCATTGTTTCTGGGATGTGGTCCTTGAGTACGAATGGAGCAACATAAAGCAAGGGCCTCTCCCCTCAGCCCATCGGGAATCCCACAGAGACGGCCCTCCTCCTCCTCCTCCTCCTCCTCCTCCTCCTCCTCCTCCTCCTCACGCCTGACCGCCCATTGGCGCGCCTCGGTCTGTCCGGGAGGGGCAGACGCAGGGTGCTGCACGCCCCCATCCCGCCCCCTCGGGAGCGAGTGGGCACGCTGGCTCCTCCTCCCCCGCGCGGCTCTCGCCTCCTCAGCCTCCGGCGCGCCGCGCCTGGCTCGGACGCCACTTCTGGATCGCTCCAGCCCCCTCGGCTCGGCGATCTGGCAGCCCATCCGCCGCTGCTTTGGGGCGGCCCTGTGCGTTGGAGGAGGAGGAGGAGGAGGAGGAGGAGGAGGAGGAGGAGGAGGAGGAGGAGGGTAGGGGAGAGGAGGAGGAGGAGGAGGAGAGAGGAGGAGGAGGAGGAGGAGGAGGAGGACGTGTCAACGCTCGGACGTGTGCCTTTTCCCTTCGGCGAGGACCATCGAGGAGCATCCTTGATGACTTGGCGGCAAAACCGCGCGCGAAACCGAAAAAAGCGCAGGGAATGGACGTCCGAGCGATGCCCAGCCCCCCGGCAGCCGCCGTCCGGGGCTATGGGGGCCGCTTGCGGCACACGGGGCGCTGAGCCTGGCCACCTCCTCTCGGGACCTGCCGCCAGGCGTGCCGCCCGCGGCGGGCGCCCCGCGGCAGACGCGCCGGCGCGCCGCGCGCCACGAGGCGCCTCCGGCCGGCGCTGCCGCGGGCCGACCGAGGCCGCCGCGCCGTGCTGCTGCGCGGGGCCTCGCTGCGCGGCCGGGGGGGGTCGGCCGCCCGCCTCGCTCGCGAGCGGCGCGGCCAGCCGCGCCGTCGCAGCCGGCCTTCCCCCTCGGCCTGCTTCGCCACCGGAGGTGCGGCCTGCTCGCGTCGGTGTGGGTCGCTCCGGGCTCGAGCCTGTCCGCGGGGAGCTGCCGCACCTGGTCGAGATGGTGTGCATCGCCCCCCTGCATGCTCTGCCGCTCGTGATCCTGGCGGTGGCGTGGCCGGCCGCTGGGCTGGTGCCCGGACGCCCACCCGTCGGACGCCTGCTGCCGCTGGCGTGCGCGCGCCCGCGCCCCGCCACCACGAGGGCCTCCTGGCCTTGCTTGCTGCGGTATCGCCGAAGCCGCTGCCGCTCCGCCGCCATGGTCGCCGACATTGCCTCCCTGCGCGCGGCCTGCTCCAGAGCGGGCTGCCGGCGGCGCGCTCTGCAGGGACGCCGCTGCGGCGGCGGAGGCCGCTGGAGGTTTGTGGATGACACGGGTGCCACCCGCGCAGCGCGCCACGCGCTGGTGGCCACGCTCCGCAAGGAGCACGCCGAGGCTCGGGCGAGGGAGTCGATCGTGGAGCCCCAGGACAGGCTGTGAGCGTAGCAGGCCGGACTCGCCGCCGTCGTGGAGGACCTCCGCTGCCTGAGCACCGCCTCTTGCCAGGAGGGCGGCGGGGACATGGCGGCCGAGGTCGTGCAGGAGTGCGCCAAGGCCCACGGCGTCGAACTGGCCCTGGCGGCCGCCCTATCAGTCCTGGCAGTCGCTGCTGGACTGGGGTGACCGTCGTATCCAAGATTCCGTTGTCGATTGTTGTTGGAAGACCGTGCGGTCACTCAATCGAGTTTCGGCCGTTGTTGAACCGAGATGTCGTTGTCATTTCCAAGGGGTGATCACCCTTGAAGACTAGGTGTATGTTGTCGTTGTTTTTTCCTGCGCGATCGGTGTCAGAAGAGTGTGCCGGGAGTGATGCCGCCCTGTCCGAGTCGCTGAAGGTGCCGCATGTATTTAGCCATGAGCGTGTGATACGCTGGCCTCCAGCTGGCCCCCTGTTCGAATATCAGGTCTGTTGTGGAAATGTGTTCGTGTGCGAGTCCGTCCTACTCGTTTCGCTTTCTCCCGTGCACTGCGAGGGTGTGACATCAGCGTGCGTAGGTGTGCGCAGCCGGGGCCTCTGCCCGCCCCCCGCCACCCACGCGAAGCCCAGCCGACCCAGATACACAGTCAGCTGAGTATATCGCGGCCTCCCGCGAATGGCAAGACCGGTCTGTCCGAAGCCCCCTCCTGAAGAGGAGGAGGCTCGACTGATCAGCACTTGGCCTCGCCACGTGCTCCTCCCTCGGCCCAGCGCGCGGATGATCGCGCCGGTGCTCCGCCGCCGTCTCCTCGTGCGCCCTGTTCTGGAGGGCAGAAGAGGATCTCCCTTCCCTTGCCAGGAGGACGGCCTGCACGCCTGCGCGTCGCTGTCGTCGTTCGCATTATTTCGCTCGGCGTCATCGTTGCAGCTTCACTGTGCAGCACCGGGTTTCAAGGAGCGCGCGCGTGCCGGAGGTGCTGGGTACGACTCCCTACCTCTACCCTCCTCCTCTCGCTGTCGCGCTCCTCCCGAGGCTCGGGGTGTTAGATCTGCGCACCAGTCGTACTCTCTCCTTCTCAGTCTCATGCATCATCCCTCCCTCCCTCCCTCCCCCCATTCCTTCTTCCCCTTCCCGAGTGGCCGAGTCTCCCCCCCTCCCCTTCCCGAGTGGCCGAGTGCCTGCGATACGGTAGTCGATCTTGTGTACGACCCAATGCTTGCCCAGCTGCTTGATTTGAGGAGAGGGATCTCTCAGAGGGATGGTGACGTAGGGCGGGAAGGACACTGCTCTCAGAGCTCCCTGGTGCCCGTGCAGAGTCGTTCGTCGGACTAGTGTTCTGCGCGGTGCGTGCCGCCTCTGCTGACAGGCTCACAGCTTAAGCAGCATCGGAATTCCGAGCCCAAAAATCCCTCCTCGCCTTCTCCTGGGAGCCCGCGCTCCCATCCTCCAGCAGCACGCTGGCTCCTCCTTGTCCTCCTTCTCTCCCCCGCCTCGTTTGCATGTCCCTCGGGATGTAAGACGGTGCTGTCCTCCCCGTCCTCCCCCCCTTCGCCTCCTCCTCCTCCTCCTCCTCCTCCTCCTCCTCCACTCCTCCTCCCTCCCCCTCCTCCTCCCCCCTTCTTCCTCCTCCCTCCTCCTCCCTCCTCCTCCTCCTCCTCCTCCTCCTCCTCCTCCTCCTCCTCCTCATCTTCCTCTTCTTCAAGGTCCCCTGCCGCGAAGCTCTCCCTGCGAGGATGTGGGACGTGCTGCCATC